AATGAATGAATAAAGGAATTATGTATAATCATTACAAGTGGCAGAATGTGACGTGATATTTAGAACATAGAAATAAAATATTCTAGAAGGTGAGATGGGGGGATAAAATATTCTAGAAGGTGAGATGGGAGGAGAAAAGTGTGTCTGTTACTGACATCTGGAGCGGCTTCCTGGAGGAGGCGGGCGCCTTCGTTACTGCCTCTTTAGGTGTTCCAGCAGGTGGAGCCTTGCAGAAGGGGTTGCAGCAGATGGCAGAGTCCACACAGGGACGGCTCAGTGAAGCTGGGTGCTTTTCCACATGAAGGACTGGATGCCAGGGTTTATAGATGTCGGAAATAATCCTGAGACTGCTCAGAATTTGGGGATAAGTGATGCCTGGACATGAGCTCACTTAACGTTCAGCTCCTGCGGGGCCCAGCTCCTCTCCATAGACCTCCCTGACCACACACAGAGCCTCCTGGGAGCACTGCAGGAGGCCTGGTATATTTCATTGGTGGCTGTCAGGAAAGCTGCTCTCAGACCAGCAGGGGACAGCTTGTGTGTTGAGGTTCTGCATTTGTCTTGTCTTTCCATGTCCCAACATTGCCTGGAAGCCCAAAGCCATCGCATCTCAGTCTCCCATGGCTTTGCTGGCTGTACTCTGGGCTGTACCCTCCATCAGGATGTACCTCAAAATGGCTTTGTTTAGGCAAACTGTCAAAAAGGTTTAGAAATGGCATGTTTCTTTTACTTACAAAAAAGGTTTTTGATTCTACTGTTCAGCTATATCTTTAAATTCATCTTTCCACAAGCCCTGGAATCCAGTGGGTTATATATTTCCTGAGCAAGTAACAGATGCTCCTTCGGTGCTGTCTAGTTGAGTTAGTGGTGTTTACCCAGTGAGCATTGCTGTAGTCCCTACTATAATATTAATTCTTTAGTTGCACAGTAAAAACCATTGCCTTGGAATTATGCACATAAAGTCTGGTCTACTGTAGTGGCTGTGGCGTGGTCCTGTTCTGCTAATGTCCTGTGGTTATGTAAATGTCCTCACTGGGAAATCTGGGTGGAGAGTATATGGGAACAGGCTGTACTAGTTTTGCACATTCTTCGGTGTTTTAAATTATTTCAAAATAAAACATTTTTTTTAAACTAGCAAACGGAACCAAAGGGACTACATAATGTGGTTGTTTTCACTTATGATTTTAGCAGTGGCCTCCCTCTTTCATCCTCTTCCGTCTCTGTCCTCAGCAGCCCGGTGCCTTCTGACAACTACAGGGCATTGTGAAATCCTACTTTAAAAATGCTTTTCCCACCTACATCTTCATGGTCCAGATGAGGAGATCAGGCCCCTGAAAAGGAAGACTCCTCTTCCTAGTGGCTATTGACAGAAACACAGAGCCCAGGAGACTTTAGTTCCAGTTGCTCTCTGCAAATCATCATGAGTCACAGCTCTCTAGCTCACACTGGTTTCTTTTGTCAGCCCAGGTGAGATTAATGAGACTGGCAGCATTCCCTGCCTTCCCCTTCAGTGGGTAGAGAGGGAATCATCTTACAGGGTGGTGGTCTGGATTGGCCAGAATTTTCACATGTACCACTCAGGGCTGTTGCCTATTGACCTCTTCAGAAGTAGAGATGTGGGATACAGGGAGCTGGACCAAAGAAAGACCTCCTGGCTTCTGCCTGCTGATCACCAGTGAGGGCTAACATTGACTATCTTCTCTTCTTCCATTAAGTCCCCTAAGTCACTGAAGTCCTTTGGAGAAGCTTTAGATACTTTTAAGTTTATTCCAAAGACAATATAACAACAGTGGCTTGTATTTGTCCAGTGACTCTGAGTTGACCTCACCCTCTAGCTACAGACTGGTTTTATTCCTGCTTTCTAAATTAGTGACATCCATGCCTTTTCGAGGTTACAGAGTGTCAGGGCAGGAGTCAGAATGCAGTTCTCCAAAATCATGGTAAATCCAGAATACTGTCCTCTTTACAAAACACTGGCTTCTTTAAAACAGTGACCTTCGTGCTTGTAAAATATCTGCACACACTTGATGATCAGCAAGCAGATGGTGATATTATTACTGCTGTTGTTATAATTCAAAAGCAGGATCTTTGGCCACGCATGTACTTTTGGGGCATGAAGAACTCTAGGACTTGGTGACTCTCCAGATTCACACAGGAGGTGGAAACGGTGGTTTCCTGTCTTCCCACACCTTCCATTGGTTAGAGCCTGAAGATGCCATATGGATGGCAGATGAGTAAGACTTAGGTTTTCCTAAAAAGTGAAGCACGTTGCCTGCGGACCACGTCAGTAGAGATCTACGTGACAATCATCCGGCAGGACAGCCACCCTGCGGCTGCCTGGCACACACATACTCTGGAGGGCTTTGAGTGAACTGACATTATTTATTTACTGCCAGTTGTTGATGCCACATTTCTGTAGAAAATCTGATGGCTTCCTTTCCCGCAGCATTTTCTTTGCCCTCCACATTGTAGGACACAACCTTCACTGTCAGCATGGGTATCGTTAATTAGTGCTGACACTAGTTTGTTCCTTAACATTCTGGACATTGGAAAATTCAGTGGACTGCATTAAGAATGGAAGTCTAAGTCCATAGCTCATTTAATATTCACAACTGTCACTTGTTAGGGAAAACCATCTTTTGAGGAGGATTGTGATTTTTCACACCCATAGAGATGTTTAAAAAGTAAACTAGTGGCCTGCTTCAAGGCAATCATTTGCATATGTATTCAACTGGTATGTGTTAGGCCCTTACATCTGTTGAATGAACTTCTAGAGTGGTGTTTCTGTCTTTAGTGTGCCTGCCTATCTTAGGGTCACTAGAAGGCCCTGTTAAAATTCAGACCTGAGGCCCCTTCCACAGTTTCTGATTCAGTCTGGGGACAAGAAATGTTATGTACATTTCTAACAAGTTTCAAGAGATGTGATTTGATATAGGAATGGCCCCCTTGAAAACCATTGTCCTAAAGCAGGGATTGGCAAACTTTTCCTGTAACAAAAATATAGATATAAATATTCCAGGCTTTGTGGTCAGCCCAGTCTCTGTCACCACTACTCACCTCTGTCATTTTAGCCACTGAAAATTGGTAACCAGATTGAGTGTGGCCATCTTCCAGTAAAATTTTATTTATAAAAGAAAATGGTGCACTTGTTTTAAAATATTATGTCACAATATGAAAATTTATAAGTGGATAAGCCAGATCCTTATTCTGGATGCATCTCTGAAAACTCTTTGGGTGAGAACAAGAAGCTGATGAAATCCCAGCAATGGCATTCGTGAGCCATGTAACTGTACAAAGGTTCTTAACTTCTTTATGAAAGGAGATAATGATTATACCATGAATGATAAGGAGAAGTACTTGCTTTTTATCAAATCTGGGTGATGTATCCATCACTGTTTGGTTTATTGTTCTACAGTCTTTAGACTGTTCTGCTGGAGTTGGAGGGCAGCCAGAGGTAAATTAACTTACAGTTAAAGTCACCTTTGGAATTCTTATAGATCACCCACACTGAGTCTCTTAGAAAATCAAAGCCAGGAATGGCCTTCTTTGTTTCTCTTTCCCTTGGAAAAATAGTAGATTAGAGGAGAGCTCAAGCATAATATGTCAAGACTAAGCTATCAGTCTCCTCCCCTCCCCACACCCTGCCCTCTGGCATCTTCCTTCATTTGGTTAATGGCAACTCTGTCTTTCTAGCTACCCAGGCCACAAAGAGTAATTTGGGAAGAAACATTTAATGAGAATGTGTCCTGAAATGGACATGCTGAGTATGAAATTGTTTTGTAGCTCAGGTAAAACATAAGATTATTTAACTCAACCTTCTCCTCTGTCTACTAGTGAACAGAGTCCCAAGGAGCTTGAAGATCACCTCCATCTGCATGGCACTCACCTTGCATACAGCAAGATTCTTAGAATTTTATAAAAATTGTTTTGTTCTATCCTCATAACAATGACAAAAGAGGTGCTTTTGACTTCCCAGTTTTCAGATGAGGCTGAAAACATAATTCCTTTGTCCAAGGTCATGCTTCTAGGCAATAGCAGAACTTGGACCAAAACTCTAGAATCCAGGCTCTTGAACTTCTAGTACGCTGTGTTTTGCTCCCTTTTCTATAATCTCTTTGTAAATACAGGAACAAAAACTTTACTTAGGAAAACAGATATGTAATTGCACCTTTTACGCTTTGTGTGGTCTGTAGATAATAAACTTTCAGTGGTGCTGGGGAACGGTATTTCGGTGCATTCCCAGTCTCCATCTGATCTGACTATGCTGAGCTTCCCCATGCACATATGAATAGTGCTTTGGACACAATGCTAAAGCAGCACAAGGTCCCCTTTAGTTCGGGTGTGTATCTGGTTTCATAGTATACTGTTTCTCTGGAAAACTTGTATAAGAGACTTCCTGAAGGATCCAGATCCTGAGTCATTTGGTTTAGCTTTAAAAGCAACCCTGTTTTGTGCTTCCTCTTTGCCGCAGTCTGTTCTAGGCACTGGAGAACCAAAAATATTGACTCCTTTGAAATACTGTGGTTAGCTGGATGAGGTGACACATTGCTGTAATCCTTGCACTCTGTAAATGCTTAGACAAATGACTCATCTTTTCTCCCTCCTCACAAGTTTGAGTCCAGTCTGAGCAACTTAATGAGAGCCTGTCTCAAATAAAAAATAAGAAAGAGTTGGGAATATAGCTCAGTGTGAAGGCCCCACTGCTATAATACAACAGCAACAGCCACAAACCCTAACAACAGGCCAGAAGTAATAGGTTTATCAGCAAGATTGATATGTGTAAATTATACCTGAAAAAGAGAAGAAACAGGGGTATTTGTTACATTAAAACACGAAGTGGCAGAAAGTCACTGCAACTGTCTGTGTGACTCCACATAATAGTACTCGGTCCAGTGTCATCAAACTCTGAACAATGAGGATGGGGCCTGAACTTGGCTCAATCAAAAAATGTGGCTCTTTCTTAACCCAAAAATGGCATTATATTTTTTTTCTTCCCCCAGGACCCCAGGAGCAAGCACAAGTTTAAAATCCACACATATGGAAGTCCCACCTTCTGTGATCACTGTGGGTCACTGCTGTACGGACTTATCCACCAGGGAATGAAATGCGACAGTAAGTAAGTTTTCTTTTCCAGTAGACGATGAAACTCAGCAGTTCATGCAGAGTGAACTGAGTTTGCTGAGTGCTGAAAGCTCAGTAACTTGTCAATGCAAACTCACCGAGAGGGAGAATTGGTTCAACTACAGATCACACTGAAAAAAGTATAGGATATTTCTGCTAACCAAGTTACTTACCTAATTATGAAAAAAGGACTTAGTTTATAAATGAAATTAATAGGTACTGTCACTTTTTTTTTGGTAGTAGAAATCTTCAATGCCTTAAAATGCAGGCTAGTCATACCCCAAAAAGACTCCCCACCTCCAGATTCCACATTTGGTTAAGCTTCAAAATAAGTTAAGCAGCCCTAGTCATTATCTTCCTGTGTCTCTAATTAGTGGGTGGAATGTGGAAAAATCCCAGGAGGCTTTCCTTAAAACTGAAGCCCAAATGAACATAAAAACCATGATAGCCTCCTACCTAAGTTCACTCATCCTGCCTGTTCATGAAGAGATCAAGTTTATATCAGTCTAGTTCTACATGAAATCACTGAGGACCAATGATGAGAAAGACACGAGATCTTTCCTTTTGTCTTGTATGTGTCTTCATCAAATATCAGGAGGAAAGAACAACAACTATAGAAACACTTTGTTTTGATAATTCTTCAATTATGAGATTCCTCAGGCTATTCATTTAAATAAAGGTTTATTAGAACTTAGCCCTGTTTTGCTGACGACAGGCAAATGTTATGGCAGTTTCAGCCTATTTTCATTCATTAATGATGACAGTAATGGCCCAAAGCTGTCTGTCTTTTTCCTAGATAGATCAAGCACTGTACACAAAAATCAATGTACATGATGAACATTAGGGAATAGATGGTGATTTCCTTAAAACTCGGGTTGTTCACCTTACAAAGCCGTGCAATTTAGCAGCCTAGTGCAATCTGTTTGTCATTCAGGCCAGTAGCTTTCTGTGCTTCAAGAAACCCTGGGGTTCCAAAGACATAGTTTATGGGGCTGATACAAGTGCATTTGTAAATATTTCACTATTTTAAAGCTTGGAACATAAATGAGTGTGCAAATATATTGCATACAAACCAGCCTTGATGGTTAGATACTACAAAGCTTATACTGTCAGCCTCATTTATGGGATAGAACTTGCAATTGAGTTTCTCCTCCTGGCATCCACTTAGCTGAGGAGGGTCCTGGGCTGATAAGGCAGGCTGTGCTGCACTGTCTCCTAGGCATGTTCTCTTCTGTGGGATGCAGAACTTATGGATGCTGTGCAACCTTAACAAAACACAGAAGAGAATGGTGAGGCACATGGAGATATTTAGTTTATTTTCTGTTGCTATAAAAACATAACAGACTGAGTATTTATAAAGAGGACAGGGTAACTCCATTCACAGTCCCGGGGCCAAGCAGTTCAAGAGCGTGGTACAAGAATGCAGTGAAGACTTTCTTGTTGCATCATAAAATAATGAGAGAGCCTCACCTGTGAAGACAGAGCAAGCTGCTAGGTTAGACGCTCTTTCTCTTCTTACAAGGTGATTAATGTGATCCTAGCGGCCCCAGTCCCACAAACGCATCTAATCCTAATTTCCTCCTAAAGTTCCTGCCTCCAAATACCATTAACATGGATTTGGGGATAAGGTTTCCAAACTTTTGAGGGACACATTCATACCCCGCAGATAGGCAACTAATAGCTTTAGAGGGTTTTGTTTTGTTTTGTTTTTGTCAGAAGCTTTATATTTTAATGTTCCTATAATAAATAAATGGTATAACTGTATTCTGTTAACTAAATTTATGCTAATAAAAAACATTCTTTTGGTTTATTTATTAGGACCTTGTTTTAGATTAGGGGAAAGTACTTTTTGTTTTGTTTTAAACTATTTTCCTTGGACGTTTAGTGCTTCTGGAGCTCCTTCTTGGGGAGAGAAGGAGACTGAGCAGTCAGGTGCCATGGCCCCAGCTTCCCCACAGACACAGTTTGTCCTGTGTCTTTGCACCTTACAAGATTGTAAGCTGCTATGTGCAGCTCCACCTGGTGGGGAAAATGGTACCAGCCACTTGTCCAAACTAGCCTGCTGGTATACAGAGTTGGAAATGAAATTGCAGAGGGTGAATGAGCTTCCCAAAGTTGAACAGCAGTTAATGGTTAGAGCCAAGCGATGAATCCAGCCCAGAGCACTTCACCTCCCCGCCTTCTCTTCCCTGCTGCCCGTCTTCTCTCCAGAAGCTCTGGCTTTTGTTTTCTTTAAATTGCCAGTTCTGCGGGGCACTTGAAGACTTTTGACTTGGTTAGCTCAAACTACATTTGTAACACAACTTGTCGAGTGTCTTAGTATTGGCTAAGCCGAGGCACAAGATCTGGAAGAGTTAGTTATGGAACAGAAGCCAGACAAGACCCACATGGGCAGACCTGCAACTCATTCTCTCCTCGGTGTGTCCATCAGCCCGCAATCAGTGTTTAACTGTGGCAGACATACATCATGCGTGGTGCTTTTCACAACTTATTTTGCAATGTTAAAATTAAAAACCAGAAATGAAAGGAATGGGAAGGCTGTGCCTTGAAGATTGCAGAACAACCTTGCTAGCTTCTCTGGAGGATTCATGAGGATTGCAACAGCCAGCCCTCCCTCCGGAAGTCCGAGGGTATGGGGATGGTAGAGCGGCGACACCTCAGGTTTGTAGTCAGCACCCGGGATTCCTTGCAGGGTTTCTTCAGTTCACTGCAATAAGACTGATCTTTTTTATCTTCCCCTTGTCTCGCCCACATAATGTCAGCTGTAAGGAATGGCTTCTGCCAGCTGTATATTTGTTTTACTGGGAATAATATTTAAATATTTGAAGACAGGCTTAAAATATCAAACACAAGTTCACTTTGAAAAAAAAGTGACATACTTACACTTTCTTGAAAACACAGGGTTGGTGGAGGAAAATACACTTTCATAAATTTCCTGTACTCAACCCACAGAACGTCACTTTCCCAGTATTGAAATCAGTAAGACAGAAGGAACTATTTAGGAAATATATCCTCCATTTAAAAGTTACATGTCATATGACTATGTGTACACAGAATATTAGTTAGCCTGACTTCGTATACGTTTACCTATGTGGATTCTGTTAAATATTTGAAGCAGTAACAGAAGACAAAGTCAGGGTATTTTGCTTCTGTGAAAACTGAGCAAATATGGGATGGCTATTTTAAGGATGGATATTGTCACTCACGCAAAGCTTGTGCTGTAAGGGACATCTGCTAACAGTTCTTTATGTCACCAAAAACATTATAGCAAACTATCGAGTTAGAAGGTAACTCTTTCCCACTTTTACTCAGACACCAAAACACAGAGGAAGTGATGTGAGTCCATATGGCAGCCTAACCCTTTGCTTTCTCAATTCACAGCCTGCGACATGAATGTTCACAAGCAGTGTGTAATAAATGTCCCCAGCCTCTGTGGAATGGATCACACAGAGAAGAGGGGGAGGATTTACCTGAAGGCTGAGGTCACTGATGAGAAACTCCATGTTACAGGTAAGGCGTGCTTGTCCCAGAGCAGCGTTTTTAAGATCAAGGTCCTGTAAAGCAGAGTGGAACCTGGCCTAGCAGCCTTAACCCCCTCTCAGAGCCTTTTATAATGACTGTGTTATCACCATCTTCAGGCCCAGCAGAGGTGAGTTAACCCAGCTCCAGGGGACTGTTCTCTATACCCAAATTCCTAAATACTTAATGTCATGCAAAGTTGCAGCCATTGTGTGGATCAGAGTACTCTGACAGCAGGACCAGTGTACTCTCCCTCCAAGGACAGGGGAACAAGGAAGCCAAAATGCTGTTGGTGAGAGTAGAACTTGGGCAGGGGAGGGGATCGATGGAAGATCCAGATGTTTAGTGGCATTGGGCAGTGATAACCTGATGAATCTACCTGAACAACAGAGCCACTGACTGAGCATATGTTTCCTGTGTGTTAGGCATGGTGCTGGAAATTTCACACAAATAATTTAGTCCTCACAAGTGCCTGATTGCTAGCCTCATTTTCCAGAAGAGGAACCTGAGCCATAGGAATATGATAATTTACACTGTTGCAGTTAATGAGGATTGAGACTAAAACAGTAGACTTCAGACCCCTGCTGCTAATTTATCATGATATATATACCTCCTACAAGTGGCCCGGCCACAGATCCAAATTTGCTGTCCATGGTCCAGGATGCTGCCTTCTGGGGCTGTGTCTGCCTGTGCTCCACTGTATTCTGGTTTTTCCCTTGGCTTTCCCACCAAAGCATACATCGACACACTCAAGCCTGGTGGCTCGAGTTATTGTGGCATCTTAGTGGTCTGGGACCTATCCTGTGTCCTCAATTTGTCTTGAGTTCTCTGTGCCATGACCCTCTCCATGCTGACTCATGGTTTAAGCCAGATATCAGCCTTGTTTTCTTGCCCTTAGGCCTCCCTCCTAGGCCACCGGTATGCTCATTCTTTGACAAATGCATTCATTTTTGTCTGATAAATGACGGTATTATATTTTCATTTTTCATTGAAAAATTTTAAGCTATCATACACTTTGAATAAATTGGCTTTAATGTTACTTGTTTGTAAACACAGACAATATCCTGAAAGGAAGGCTGGATGGCATTTGTTGAAGATAAAAAGGAAGGGAGAAGAGATCTAGGAAAAGCTTACTCTGAAAAACATCCTCATTTTTTAAAACATTAAGCACCTTTCTACCCAGGGCTGTCCTCTCAGGTAAGATGCAGGGAAACCAAACAAAAGATTTTGAGGTATTGCTAGGAGAGAGGCAGCACGCTTGGCTTGCCTCATGGAACAAACCAGCTGTTGGCTCACTGGCAAGATGGAATTGTGTGTGAAATCCTTAGGCTAAGAAGCTCTTTTGACTTCCATGTCTTAGAGAAGTGCCTTTATTCCTAGCCCCTCTTGTTGTACTCTTGCATTTAGGGGTGTGGCTCTTACACATCCTTTTAATGCATCTTCTGTTGTCGCTGGAGTCCACTCTGTCCTTCTCTGTGCTGATGGCTGGAGCCCTTCTGACTGGCACCCATTTCCAAAGAAAGCAAGGTCCCATGAGGACCACAAGCTTGGCGTTGGGAAAATTTTCAGTGTCACAGCCCCTGTCTTGTTTCTCTCTCTTCTCTGTTAAGGCTCATAGATTGTTAAATCCATGTATTGCAGGTAGGGAGCATGCAATTTTTGAGGCATTGCCATAAGCAATATCCTGAGATGGTAAGGGGTTAAGGAGCACAACTTGGAACACCCAGTGGCTGAACACTGCTCTGCCATTTCTTACCTTTTCCTCTATTTCCAGTGCTACCCTGTTAGCAGTTGAATACATATCACACGTGAACAGTCAGCTTAATTATGGGGCTTAAATGTGACATGGAATGGCTTTCTCTAAGGCAAGAACGCCTGCACAGAGTTTTTAAATGTTCAGCTGTTGTTCATTGTGTTTCTAGATAAAGCAAACACACCGAGCATGCTGGACTTGCCCCGTGCTTTCTCCTCAAATAAAAGCAGCAGTCACATAGTGCTGTGTGGGTCATCCAGTCCCTTCTGTAAGTCCCAGAAGACTTACAGATGTAAAAGTGCACAGAGGGACATGGGCACCTTGGCTGGGATGGCACATGGATGAAGGATCAGGTCAGTTCTCATGACGCTAGGGTTTATATCTTGCTAATTGTTCCACCATTCCCAAGAAGTGAGCTTGACTCACAGGTGCAGAATCATCTCAAGGGGTCTTACGTTTCACTATGTTGGATGTGGACTTTTCACACGTGAAAGCCACCCAGCAACCAGTACTACTCACTGCTACACTGTGAGTCACGTGCTTGAGAAGTAGTTTAAAACTTTTTTATAGAGATAGACCTACTCTAAGAATGTGACTGCAGCAACAGTTTAATAGTAATGCCTTACTTCATTCAGACTGCAGTAGCAAAATACTTTAGACTGGATTGTTACAGGGTACTCAAGAAATTTACCTACAGGACACCAAGATTTGAGAAACAAATGAGGTTTATTAAAATGGCAGTGGTCAGTCAGCTTAGGCCATTTAAATTTCTGGCTGCTGGCCGGCTGGCTCAGATTCCTTTGTTCTCTTCTCTTATATAACCCTGTATGAGTTCACAAGGTCGGGGAATTTACATGAATACCACCTTTTTACAGCACCGTCATTGCTTTGCAATGTTACAAAGCCTGCTTACACTTCTGATTAATTGACATACAGATTGCAGGCACCAGGCAGTTTGGTCACCTTGAGATAAAGCCACTTGTTCCCCTTTTCATAGGTTTTATGACCAACCGGAAAGGAGGAGGCCTTTGGGGGATTTGGTCAAAGCTCACTCACTGTTTACTGCTAACTGTACATCAGAATTATAATCTATAGACCATAAAACAAGTGAAACTTTCAAGACTAGAGTTTGGGGGAATTCCAAAGAGAGAAAAGGGCAAAGAAAAGAAAACAGATAGTGGTAGGGATTACGAATGCCTTCACGGGATAATTTGTAAGTAATAGAAATTTGCTTCCCATAGTTCTGGAGGCTATGAAGATCAAAGCAGCAGGAGACTCAGTCTCTGCCTCATAAACTGCACCTGTTATCTCTTCCTCATGTGCTGAGGAAGGAAGACCGTGTCCCCATGTGACAGAGGGCACAGACCCACTCCCTTTAGTCTCTTTTTTATAAGAATGCTAGTCCCCTGCATGAGAGTGAAGTCACTGTAACCTAGTCATTTCTCAAAACATTTCCCTTTTAGCACTGTTACTTGGGGATTGAATTTCAACATACTCACTTGGGGAGAAAGCCATATTCAAATCATAGCAAACAATAGCATCACCATCAGTTGACACTTACGTGATTTCCATAGGGCAGGCTAGCTTATTTAACACACTTCTGGCAGAAGGTAAAAAATGCGCCCCCATGGTATCTGTGAAGACACTGATTTTATCCTTACTTTATAGGTAAAGAAACCAAGGCACAAGGAAATAAATTTACTTACAAATTTAATGGTTAAGCATTTCAGTTATGTTTTAATTACAGTTTCAGTAAAACTTAGAATTTGTTTTTTAAAATATGTGTACTGGACTGGAGGGTTTAGCTTAGTGGTAGAGCACTTGCCTAGTATGCCCAAGGCCTTCACCTGGGCCTCCATTCTGGATTTGATCTCCAGCACCACCACCAAAACAATAATAATAATTTGTGGGCAAGAAGTCTAATTTTAAGTACAGAAAGTCAAATTCAGAAACATACCTAATTAGCAATAATATGGTGAGAACTTTTCATGTGAAGTAATTGCGTATTTTCAGAAAAGTTACAAAAGTAGTACAGAGGTCCTGAGCACCTGCTCCTAGCATAAGGATTCTTGCATGTGGGAAGTTTAGTATCAAGGTAATCACATTTTGAAATAGTATCTGATACATTTGTGCAAAGTAGTACCTATGCTCCCCACTAGGATTGTTCTATTATTTTTTTTACTTCATAAAACAATAAAACAAAATTCCACAACAAAATAATAAGAGAACAACAATAGTTAATACACTGTGTATTGTCATCTTCAAAGTAGTTACTCAGAGTACATCAATACAAAGATCATCTCTTACAAAGAAGAAACAAATAGATATTAGCATAAAACTTCCTTTCTCCGGTGAACTAAAAAACTAGTAGTATAAAGGAAACAAAATAACATGCATATTAAAATATTTTTGAAACAATGGACAGATAATTGGGAGACCATCTAAACCTTTCCCCCTTCCTCCTCTCTCTCTCTCTCTCTCACACACACACACACAAACACACACACACACACAGACACACACACACACATTTTCCTCAGTGGAATATATGTACTTTCTGTTTCTCATGTACAAGAAACCATGTGATATTTAAGCTTGCGTGTCTGATTCATTTCACTTAACATTATATTCTCACTAGGCATTGTTTTAAAGAGCAAAGCAAAAGGCAGTGGACTTACATTATTCCAGTATGAAAAAACTGCCAAGTGCGCCACGTGAAACCCTGAAGAGTCTTGTCACACAGGGGCATCCCCTCCTACTCCCTGCCTCTACCTCCTCCTGCTAAAAACTTCAGTTTTTGCTAACACTAGGCAGCATCATTGAGATCCTATTGCGCACTTACCATTCATAGAACTGGACCTTTCTTTGTGCTGAGCACCTTGGGTTCATTGTTTTGTTAACTCCCTCAAAAGGTCCCTTAAAAGTAAATACTCTTGCATCTTCACTTTCTAGATGGGCCAGAGTGCTGAGAGAAAGAAGCTGCTCCAAGTCCTGGGGTAGAGACCGATGGAGACAGACTTGAGTCCAGGTCTGCCTTTCAGGGCCTTGGCTCTGAACCTCTCAAGTCTCTTAGTAAGGAAAATCTCCTTTTGAATGTCTCCTTTGAAAATCTCCCCATTCAACACTCCCTGAGATTGTTTGAGTGTACAAAAAGTTCAAACATGGGATTTAAAACCAAGGGGACGAGGGTACCAGGTGAAGGGATTGAAGAACAATCCAAGTTCAAGTGTAATTAAGT